CATATCTATGGCCAAGAGGAAGTCTTAGCATTTCTTCCATTTAATCTTTACTTGCATACTCCTGCTTTAAAATAGTTACTCCACCAAAGCCTTGCTAACAGAAACGTTTTAATTTTCAAGAACCGAGAGTGAGCAAGAGAAAAGTAAATGAAACAATCAGTTCCTCAGAAAGGCTGATGACACAAAAGAGGGGAACAAAAGAAAGAATTAGATGTTGAAATTATATTACTTATTACAAAAGGTTTGATTCCTCTTTTGTTTCCGTCCAAACAAAAAGAGATAAGGGTAAAGTTCCTCAAAGCTGTTTCAACAGTAAAATCAAATGCATTTGTCCCACGAAGCGTGTGCAGTGCGGTCTCATGGTTTTCTGTGCTGTATATAAACAAACACGCGTTGGTCTGTGCACATCGTGTTTTCCAGAGCACACAGGAGACGAATAGACATGAAGGCAATAGTTGCTTTGCTGTTTCTCTCGGCACTGGCCTTGTATGCTCAGGCGGAGATGGAGTACCATCCACATGCAATTCTAAATTATCTTGAGAGGGAAGATCATGAGATGGTCAGAAAAGTTCGCGGCATCTTGAAACTGCAAGATCCTGGACCCAGCTTTGAACCATCCTTCAAACCATCCTTCAACCCATCCTTCAAACCATCCTTCAACCCATCTTTCAAGCCATCTTTCAAGCCATCTTTCAAGCCACTGGTCCCACTGCCAATAGTAAGTAGCTGCGTATTTAACAAAATTGAAATCTACTTTTTGCTGGCTTTTCTCTTGCCTGTTGACCAGTGCGTAAGCTAAAAATAACAAATGTTACAGGTGAATTTTTTGCGATGAAAATTATCTTGTTTCTGACAGATTCTTAAAGAAGCCAACATGAATAAACTCAAAGTCTTAAGACAGATTTCGTTTGCGGCGCCTTCTTCCATATCATGCTTGAGTAACTCATCATATCATCATGGGAATTTTTACATAAACAAGAACTCATCTCCATTTCGTGCACATTTCCAACTAAATTTACAGAGTAAATGCCTTGTCTCCAAGGGTTTTATTTTTATTTTTTTTTCTTAGAAAAATAGGACCAAACAGTGGAGTTTAAAATTGAACGAAGTTTTTTTTAGGTCCTAGTTCAGATTTTTCAAGACTATCCATTCATTCCCACAGGGTAACCCAAACTCTGAACGTAAATTTATGAGAAAAATGCTAATATTTCAACACAAACTGCTTTACCTTTGTTTTTCTCTTTTCAATAGAAAAAGTGTTTGGCTCAAGCACTGATCTGTCACCATAAAGCTAAAGAAGATGCTTGTGAACATCTGAAGTGTATCAAGCTGACTGGATGTTGTCTAAAAGAAACAGGGATTGAATTTAATCCACCTCCTATTGTGGTGGGTACTTAATATCGCTTACTTACCTCCCTTCCTCCCTCCCCTCCATATCTACCTGCCCTATTTACTCTACTTGCCTCCCTCCCTCCCCTCCCTATCTACCTGCCCTATTTACCCTACTTACTAAGCGACCTTCTCCACCTTCCCTTACTGTGAACGAAATTCTTGCTGAGCTGACGAACCTCTCTGAGTTTTAGTTCAAGCTGCCGAACTTCAACAACAAAAGAACGTAATATTTTGATGTCTTAATTGTTGGGCTATACAGAGGGGAGTTCGTAGATGGATATTTCAACTGATTCCAAATACAAAGAAAGCCAATTGACATTTGATTTGCACGTGGAGTTTTGATTTAACTGAAGGAAATTATTTTTGCGATGATTCAGTTTATTTTGCGGGACTTAAATTTTCTTTAATGTGATAACTTACTTTCGTATTGAGGGATATTCACAAAAATCAAACTCGCAAAATTTTATGCTATACGATACCTTCTTACCTACCAACCTACCTACTCCTCGCTCTTCATTATTTATTTGTCTAGAAAAAAGACATTTTTCTTCAGAGATGGCAAAGATGGAGTGCACAAATAATGTCCAGCTAGCAATACTTCTTTGTATATAAACCATGACATCCTACGTCTTTATTACCATCATTCTTCACGTAACGACTTCTGTTTTCATTGTCAAAAAGTTCACAATGTAGTTCATCAACCACTGAGAGGAAAAGTAAGCTAATTTAATAGTTTTCTTTGGGTTTTCTTTTCATCTCTGCAGAAGAGATGCCTGCCAGTTATCCCGTGTTGCATGCTGGGAAGCGAGACCTGCGAAGAGAAGCTGTGTTGTTTCGTGCGATTTGGAGAATGTCTGAAAAAACTTGGTGACAAAATTGACGCATAACTCATTTTATCCAAGGGATGGAAAAAAAGGAATTAATCATTAGACCGAAAAACTACCAGTAGCTTTAAAACGATATCAAGTTGTCATGCGTATACCTTTGTAACATTAAAGAGCCTGATTGTAATAATTCTCTGGTCTGTTCTACTTGTTCTTGTGCCCGTGTTCAAAGCGCTATGACAACCTGCTCTGCTCTTTCCAATATGCAGGACAATCCAGAACAACTTTAAAGGGGTAAGGGGACGATGATCACTTTCATAATTTTTAATTTCAGTCAGCAATTTCCTGTCACTTTCCATCAAATGATTTGTTGTTACGCTGTCGCTTAGACATCTCCACAGCAGAGACTGAACTCCGTCGATATTTTTTTCATCGCACGAGACCTAGACGCGAACATAGCGCGAGCTTTACTATGTCAACACTTGTCAACAAGCAAAAAAAACATGGCGGCTCGATACGAGCGCGCGATTGTTATCTAAAAGGTGTATTAAGGCAGTATAATCAAAAGAGTAAAGTTTTTATGGTTACTTCCTCGTATGGAGGCCACAGTTTGTGTCGTGGTCTGATCTTATTGTTGACGACCTCTGATAGATATCCGCTTTGTTTCCAGGTTAACATGTTTTCAAACAACTTCCTCGTCACACGGTCTGTCGGATCTTTGTTCAAGCGCCCATCCCGTTTGATTTCGTTAGGTCACCTTGCAAATTGTGTTTTTTACTCTTTACGGTAGCCAATTTACGTTTTCAACTCAGTTGTTAACACTAAATTACCTGCTATACTCTCCCACCGACGCAGCAGCACAGTTTCTTTAGAAACTTGCCCCCTTCAACGTCAATGTGTTACATTCAGCCTAAACCAACAAAAACCAGCGATGTACCTTTAAATTAGACTGACTTTTATTAACGACTATTAGTTAAGTAATTTTAATTTTAAATGTCACCTTGCTAAATTTAACTCTTCTTCTTAATAACTTATGGCGTTTGTTATTTACACTGAAGTACACGTGAAATATACGAGTGCCAAATAATCAATTAGTTACAGCGTTCAACAGTTCTAAAGTCCTTTAACACGAGTGGATTCAAGTCCCTGGGTTTGTGGATGTGGCACCAACTGCTCCTGTTGTGTTGCTGTCACCGAGACTCTAGAGACAACAAAGTAGTTAACGTGTTAATAAAGGAAAGTTCAAAAAGCACTTAATAGAAAGAAATACTGTAATCAAACAACAATTTCTCTGTTTTTTTTTTAAATTTCCCTCTATGGCTTATTTGGATCTCAACCCACATGTGGTTGGCATTTATTTAGTTCACAGGTTAACTAGTAAAGATAGCATGAGTAACCTTGGAAAATCACACAATCCAAAAATAACGGCGCGCACAAGTTTCAAAACAGCTGATTTTTGCCTCCAAAGTCACTTAGGGATCTCTCCTTTTCGCTGTGAGCACGTCAGATAACTGAAAACACAATTTACACCAAAATAAAAAAATTTAAGTACAAAGATTCTACATTATAGTAGAGACAGGTAATTACCTCTTTTGGTAAGTTGTTCATGCGAAACTGTAGTAAGGCCTGTGTAAGGGCATTAGACACATGTAGGGCCATTGATGCATCTTCCTCGCTGGTCACAAGTTTTCCCTAAAAAGAAAGCATGGTCAGTCAGTCAGTCTGTCAGTCAGATATAGAGCTGCTACATTGTAGCCAGCCAGCTAGCCAGCCAGCTAGCCAGCCAACTAACCAGCTAGCCAGAAAATCAACGATGCGCACATTCCACTAGCTGCATTGTACATTTCTTACGTTTCCAATGACACAATGCGTCTCAACATTGACCACCAGGGAAACAACCCACTAGGAGTTTCATGTACATGTGTCTCATCACTGAGCACATACAAATGTATCTGTTTCATACTACTCACCAAATCTTCAATTGCTCCTTGGAGAAGGCTCATGTTATTTGGAGCACGATCTCTACTGCTAGCACTTCCAGCACCACTGCTACTGCCACTAGTTGCACCTCCTGCGACAGTAGTGGGTGCATGTCCATATGAGTGAAACCTTTGTTCGTTAGCACTGGGCATCTGCCCATATGGGTCAGACCTTTGATCACTTGTGGTTTGATTAGGATAGGGACTATTAAACTGAAAAAAAAAGCAAAAGTAAGCTTCAGAGCCAAAAGAGTGATAAACATCTAATTTCTCCTTACAGTATCAACCTTAATCAAACATTACAGTCATGAGAATAAAGGAAATTATTATGAACTTAAGGAGCTCCTGATTGTCAGACAAATTCTCCTTGCAAGTATCACAAGGAATGTATAGAGAACAGTATGAAGAACTTACATACTGATGTTAGGGTGTAAAGGGTTAATTCACACTTACAAACTTTGTCCTTTTTTCTAAGCTTGTTACTTATAATGATCTATTTAGTTATATGTTTTTGTCATTTGATTTATTGCCTTGTCCTACTTTAGCTTTATTTAGAAGCCAATTTAATTTACCTCATAATTTGAGCCACTGTTGTTTCCGTAGTAACTGTCATAAAAGTCGTCACTATTGTCATTGTACTGTGCCAGTCTAGGTGGAGATCTGGGTTTGAATGCCTCTGGGGGTAGCATTGGATTCCTGTTTTGACATGATAAAAAAAACATGACGACTATGAGAACAGGTAAAAAAGGGTGCAATATTAGCATGTTACAAAACATCATGATAACAAATACTAGAGAAGAGACCAGATAGTGTTGCCAAAATACATCAAATAGTTATATCAAGAGTTGTCTCCAAAAGTGCAACCATGACATCACATGTCATACGCAAGACTACCTCACATAACATGACGACACCACATGAGGTACCAGCAATAGAATATGGGTTGTGTAATATCGCATCATTTATCGCATTCCATTTTGAATGACTGAACAGTCATTTCAGATTGTTTTTGTTTTTTGAAAATTAGCCACTGTCAAATGAACATGTTCATACCCTTCTCCATGTCTTCCACTGTTCCATTCTATACTAACATCATCATTTTCACCATATGATCCAGCAGGGAATGTCTGGTTGGTTTGACTCTCATAATAAGGGTAATTCTGACCCCAGGACTGATTCTGCCTTTTCCCACCTGGGGACACTCTTGTTCTACCCCTTCCACCGCGGTTTGATGCTGTAGGCTGTTGCTGGTTGTAACTGTGAGGATTTCCTTGCTGCCCACCTCTTCCTCCCCGCATAGTTGCCTGCCCTCGGCCAGCAAAGGAACCTCCCTGTGCTCCTTGTCCACCCCTCATATTACCATGTCCTCTGCCTCTTGCACTTTGCCATGGCTGCTTTGCTAAAATTTGAGGAATATTCTTTCTTTTATACTTCATCAAGATTTCTAAGAAACTATCAAACTGACATAAAAGTGATAATAGTTTCAAGTTTACAGAAACATTTAATTACAAATAAGTTCATCCTATATCAACTAGAGAGTCTATCATAATAAAAACAGTTGGCAGTTTCTGTTTTTGAGAAAGATGGCTGACAGCTCTCAAAACTGTCAAATATACAAAAAAAGATTATTGGCTACAATTGTACATTGAAAGAAGTTTTGTATCAATTTTTGTTGATATGAGAGTCTCTTTACCTCCTCTACCCATTTGGTGTGTAACTGTTTGGTTGTTGGCGACTTGGTTGTTGATGACATTGAAAGGGCTCTTTTCAACTCGAGTTTTCACTTGTTGACGACCTAGCATCATCTCTAGTTTGTGTGCTTCTTCAAGCAGTTTGCTGGACAGTTCTGATCGCTTTTGGACACCCGCACGGATACTCTGAGCTACATCTGGGACCTTCTCTTTCTAGTAAAGAAGGAGTAAATAACTTAATTTAACTCAGGTTTCTTTCAAGTTGTGTGTATCAAGTTAATACCTCTTATATAAACTCATACATAATCCCTCAGACACAAATTCTAGAGAAGCCATCACTGCTGCAGTTACAAGTTGCATGTTTTGACTAGATTCTATTTGCATTTTTTTTACTGTTGAAGACAAAGTCAACAGATGCATCAAACCAATAATAACAGCACCTCAAACAAATAAAGTTTGAAGAGATACTTGTGTCTTATCTTTCTCATTTGCTTGATCATTTTAGATTGGGAACTACTAAGATAGGAAGCTAAAAGCTTTCCTGTAATGAAAGTACACATGCTTGCTTTTAGCCTAAAACAGGAAAATTGTTGTCTTCAACTGTTTCTGTACAAAAATGTTCTTCAATGAAAAATGGTCAAGGATTGTTCTCATTGTCAAGCAAATAGCAACCTCTCATTTGGATGCTACTCTGTACTAGTATACATCACACAAGTTAATAGTGCTTTTTGCATGCGCTGATTGGCAAGTTTGGAAGTTTGGAAGTGCTATTCACCTTTGAGCAGCTGATGAGACAAGATCACGTGTTAAGAGTTATTTTTTGGTATATTTAAAGAAACAAACTAATTTCTGGTATCTGGGTGCTATATACTAACAATTATTTTCCTCAGTGTCAGTCAAAAATTGGGATATTTGTCTCCACTTTGGGGAATAATTGTTAATTATTAAGTGTTGTGAGAGATGGAAGTTGAAACATGATGACAGGCAGGCGATGGAACAAGAAGAAAAGAGACGGCATTTCCCTTTTCCACCAACTTTATCCCTACTGGCATGCCTTAAAAAGGCTCAAAACAACTTTACATGCTTGTTTTACCAATATCAAATTAATTGTTTGTTTTGCTGGACAGCAGCTTCATCAAGAAAATGTGCAGCTTTCTCATTGGTTTCTTAATTGTTTAGGGCAAGAGAAACCAACTGAAAAAAGCTTTGCAAACCATAAGATACATATTACGCTTCTGTAAAAGACAGTCTTTCAATCCCTGCTCTGAAATATGCTGTACAGATTTATACAGAACAGTCCCTTGCATACTGTACCTCTGAGATTGAAAAGAAAACTTTTATCCTAAGACGATTAACATGCAAAGTATTTCTCCATGAAAGCCTTCGAGAATAAGGAGAAAAATACTGGGCAAAAAGGAACTTTGCCTTTATGCTGGTTCATTGCTTGTTGAGTGACAAACATATGATATTCTGTTTTTTGTTTTGTTTTGTTTTCCTTGCGTTTTTAATGATAGAGACAA